ATATTATTATTATTATTATTATTATTATTATTAATAAATGTTTATTTTTCAAAAATAGCTATGTATTAAAATTATTGCAAGTTAATTAAAACATTTGGTTTAATTCATGGGGGGGGGGATCAGTTTTCAGTTATGTTTCTTTAAGTATGTCACCCATCTTACAGTTTCATGCAGTTCTTATGAGTTATTCACAAATGCTTTGCAAATCAGTTTGACTTGACAGAAAGAACTAATTAATTTGTTATATATCTGTTGAACTCCCAGACAAGTGTTCATACAGCCAAGTGATTCACAAATGTTTAGTGATTCAGTTTGACTGCAAACCAGTTCAAAAGAACAATCATCTGACATCACAAGTTCATAAAGTCTCATAAAGGAAGTGTGCCGAAATCAACTGACAGTGTAGATTTACAGAACAGCATCACATTCCCCTGAATCATTTCATTATTTTATTAAAAACATTTATTTTGAATTTATATTAATATAATTATATTTACTTTATATTATTTTTATTTTATGTATTATTATTATATAAAAATAAATAAAATATTTAAAATATATAGTCTAATAAAATATAGACTATAAATAAAGTGTATTTGCTTAAGTTTCTGCATAACAGATTTATGAAATGTTTATTATTCCAGCATATCACCCACCTTAGTTTTATACAGTTCATAATTTTTCAATATTTTTCAAAACTCTAACATAATTTTAGGTACCGTTTATTTAGCTTATTTAATAATATTGTTATCATAATTTTTGTTTGAAAAATATATATATAAATTGTATTACTATTATATATAGTATATAATACTAATTAATTTGTTATATATCTGTTGAACTCCCAAACAAGTGTTCATACAGCCAAGTGATTCACAAATGTTTAGTGATTCAGTTTGACTGCAAACCAGTTCAAAAGAACAATCATCTGACATCACAAGTTCATAAAGTCTCATAAAGGAAGTGTGCCGAAATCAACTGACAGTGTAGATTTACAGAACAGCATCACATTCCCCTGATCAGAGTGCAAATGATTCCTTTTTCAGCTGAAGAGCTGTTTATAAGCAGGTGTTGGAGCCGTCGTGGTGATTGAGTTAAGTTGAGAGAGACTCCTAACGGAGCTCTCAAAGGTGAGAGGTTTCAAAACCCCGCTAATTAATATCACCACCCACACCTCCACCTGCTCTCTTTCCCTTTGACAAACACACACAGCTCCGTTCAACATCAATAACTCCTAATAACAACATGAGGGCGAGTAAACGATGACAGAATTTCTTTAATAAGTGCTTTTTAATAAAACTCAGCACTTCAGACACACTCAAACGGCCCTTATCAATGCTGAGAGGCTCGTGGTAGACCAGCACACATCAGCAGCCTGGGGAGAACAAGCAAATCTACCGTAACAGCCACATCTGGCCAAATTAAGCAGGAAATATGAGGCTTTATGAGGCGGAGATTAAATTTATAAATGCATTCTATTTATCAGATATGTGACAGTCTTTACAGGGGCTTGATAAAGACTGCAGTACGGTGTTTTGGTGAGCTGGATCCTGTAGTTTGTCTGTTATGATTGTATTATCTCTCGAGAGGCCAGATACTGTCGCTGGAGACCTCAGAGGACGTCTATTGAAAGTTAGATATGTGATATCCAGTGGATGAGTCTCTGAGTTGCTCCGATGACTCATTCAGTGTCTGTGGTTGGTGTTGAGAGGGGATCCCAGCATGACGCCTTCATAATGAAAGGACGAGTTTTATAAGATGAAGGTACTTAAAACGGCTAATACATTCTTTTAAGATCAGGACTAAACGATTTTACCAATGATGTAATCAAGGACTCGTCTCTTTTTTTATTGATTTATCCAGTCTCTCTTAAAAGAACAGTTCACACAAAAACAGAAATTCTGTGATCATTTCCTCACCTTCACCACAGAGGCTGAATGCACTAAAAGAGCTGAAAGAGTTATGGCAGGTGCATTTTCAGTTAATTAAATTATTGAACTAAATAAAATTGATTGCAAATATGTAAACACACACACACACACACACACATACATACATACATACACACACACACACACACACATACATATATATATATATATATATAATAAGGGCATTTTTCCAAATATCTCCTTTTACATTTCACAAGAGAAAGAAAGTAATATGGGTTTGAAAGGACATGAGGCTGTGTAAAAGGCAGTATTTTAATTCCTGGGTGAATATCTACTTTAAAAGATAACAGGATAAATTAACTCCATTTACTTTTTTCATAAACAAAAAATATAAAGTTTAGGGTAAGTAAAACATTTTTTTTAAAATAAATCATTACTTTTATTTAACAAGGAGGCATTAATCAAAAGTAACAATAAAGACTTTTACATTGTTACATAAATTCCATTTCAAATCAAAGCTGCTCTTTTCAACTTTCTATTAAATCAAAGAATCCTAAAAAAAAAAAAAATCAGTTCGCACAAAAAAATATTAAGCAGCGCAACTGTTTTCAGCATTGATAATAGTAAGAAATGTTTCTTGAGCACCAAATCAACATTGCAATGATTTGGAAGGATCATGTGACACTGAAGACCGGAGTAATGATGCTGAAAATTCAGCTTTGCATCACGGGAATAAATT